GGGCCATGAGCTGAGAAATGTGCTCCTCGGGGAAGGTAGGGGCGGCAGACTGCGCCGGCGCTGGGCCACCCTGTTGAGCAGGAGGTTGAGGAGCGGAGGCGCCACCACCGGCCGGGCCGCTTACAACGCCAGACCGTTGGCCAATGGTTGTGCCAGCAGGACCGGGTAGTCTTGGTTCTTCCTCGAGTGCCTCCTCACTCTCCTTCGGGATCTCCGCCTCGCCTAGGAAGGGCACCTCCTCGCCTTGAATGATGAGCTTGTCCTTTGCGAGGTCGATGCTGGCCTGGTAGCGCTTGAGCATGTCGAGGCCGAGCAGAAGCTCCACCTGCTTGCCCTCCATGACGGTGAAGCTGCAGGGCAGGAACAGCGTTCCGACCTTGATCTGGGCAGAGTGCACGCGGCCGATGATGTTGGCCGTGCCGACTCCACGAGCCACTCCTGCGAAGCGCTTGTCCACAAGACGCATGATACCACACGCTTCCGCGCACGCCGGCGACATGATGGTGGCCTGGGCTCCGGAGTCGACCAATGCCTTCACCCTGTGGCCGTTGACCTCGACATCCACATACAGCATGTGGACCCTCCCAAAGACTGAACAACGTTAGCTGATGCAAGCCCCTTGTCTTGACTGAATCCTTAACTTACCTTCAGGATTGTGCTCCATGGCGTTTTGCAGGTTCTCCATTACCCTCTCTTGGCGAATCATCTCCTCAATCTTGGCCTGCGCCTCAATGTCGAACGGGTCCTCGTTCAGGCGTGCAATCTCCCTCTGCCTCTCCTCGCGTTCGCGTTGCTCCCGGTCGTAACTATCGTTGAACAGCTGTGCGAAGCGTGCGGGGTCTTCGAGGGCGGCGGCGAGCTGAGGCTGCTGACGGGTAGCTTCCGCACGCAGGTTGGGGTCGCCAAGGATCTGGAGGCGGATGAGCTCGGGGTCTTGGCCGCCGGGTCGTCGACGCTGCTGCTGTCCTTGTCCTCTCCTGCCTTGGTCGGGCACACCGGTGCTTCCTCGCATATCTCTCACGTGCAACGCCAACATTTCACCGTCGGCAATCTGCAGCTGCTCCATCGTGCTGTTGTCATCCTGAATCAGACGGCCGTTGTGGTAGAGGTGCTGAGAGGTGGGCAGAATCTGTGTCTCGGCTTGGATGGCTTCGCGGAGGGTGGAGACGGGCATGTCGGGAAAGATCTCGAGGGTGAGAAGGTCTTGGTCTTCGACCTCGGGATTCGTTATGCTTAGTGTGATGCGCCTGTCACCGAAGCTGTCAGTCGAGAGTCAAGAATGTTTCGCACATGTCGCGAGCTTACATGATGGGTTTTGTTTGTTTCCCGCGATGTCAGGTGTGCAGTTTTTGGTGCCCGGGTGGAAGTGAAAGGTAAGTTGGAAGAGTAGGTAGCGGCGGTGAGCAGCAGGAGGCAAGCAGCCCGAGGCTTCTGGTAGAGTTGGCGGGCAACGTAAGGCTAGCTGTCGTCACGAGCCAGTCGAGTTTCACGGTTGCGAATGCGAAGTTCTAGGTACTTCAGGTTCACACCGGAGCTGCGGTGGAGGGTTGATGAGGGGTGTTTTGGAGGGGCAGCGGCGGGAATCCAGGCAGCACGGTGGTGACGTCTTATGGAAAAAGCAGACGTCTTTGAACGAAGAAGAAGAAGGCTGGAAAATAGAGAGCTTGCAAAAAGTTTTCGATTGGGCGCGGGCTTGTGGTGCGTCTTCTGGTGATTGGGTGTTTGCCGTCGTCAGAAAAAAGGTCGGTAGCAGAGAGAAACGTCAATGTGGTCAAGGTAGGGATCTCGACGTAAGGGAGGGCGGGCAGACGAGGTGAGGTCGGGGTACGTAAAGAGCTCGGCCACTCAGGTTCCCATGAAGTGTTTCGTCAGGAAGGTGGGCGCTGGGCGACCCCTAAAACACGATTGTAGAGACACCGCGGCGACGAGAGGCACCCTGGCCCTGGCCGTCGTCTACTTTGTACGTTGCCCCGTTTCCCCGTTTGCGGCAATGGAGCTGGGGCGGCAAGCTCGCACTACCTTACCCTTCATTCGATGCAGTACAGCACGGGAAGCACTGGCCAAGCCGACGAGGAAGCTGATGGAAGGGCGTTGAACCTATGCGTCAGCATGGTACTTTCTTTTCACGCTGCTGTACCACAAGTAAGCTATCTGCATGCCCTGCTTCCCCGGGCAGCTCGCTGTCATGTCAACAGTTACATTGGTAAAGAGACTGTGGCCGGACTCTGATACCAGGGAACAGCCAGATGCCTCGGGCAACGAAACAGCAACGCGCAATCGCAATACCGTCACCCGACCTATTTCTCCCATTTCTCAGGTGCCTCTCCCGAGCACATCAGCCCCACGAGCTAATCGTTACCTAAGCCGCGCTCGAGGTACCGTCAGAGTATCTGCAGGTGCGAAAGCCGTCCGCCCAGTTACCTCCCGTTTACATGACCTGCGGCATCTGCGCAAGTCAAACAAGGCAACTGACGAGCAACAAACCCTTGCACACCCATCCCTCCTTAGACGAGGTACCCGACACCTTGCTCACCACACAAGCGATGGATATTTTTACACTGGAGCTTACCTCAACTATGCAAGTTGATAGGTCTGTTGCCCCAAGCCGCCAATCGAACGCCGCCGGCGACATCCTCTGCCACTGCTTTGGTGGGTTTCTGTGCAATAATGACGAAGATCCCGAACGACGAATATCCCCAACCCTCGATATCCCGGTTCGACTCGGGAGATCCAGTCAATCCCACCCGCTCGCTTCGGCGCACGGCAAATTCTTCATGATGAGGCGCCCGTCGAGGACCAACCGATTTCAGCGACACCATGCGGGTTGCAAAATCGAGGCGCTGGGCTATCGTCAGCAAAAAGACGAGAGAAAGTACTCGAGACAGAGATCATCGTGTCTCGATAACTCCGACGCTGGATGATGACACCTTCCGGACAGACCGCGGCGTCTGCGCCGGCGGACGTCGGCACTGCACAGACATGCTCGGACGCTGGTGAGGTTGGGCAGGACCCGGGCTTCCGGCCAACTTCTCAGGCCGGGTGCCGTTTGCTTGCCGGTCGATGGTGCTATTTGCACTGGCCGACAACGTCTCTGGCTAGCCTCATTGATGCCTCGCTCCAACCAACACCAAATGTACTTTGCTACAAAACTCAAAAGTGCCTCAGCTGCCGTCCTATTCGAGCGTGCTGCATCTGCAGAAGCGCGGCGGGGGCGATGCAACTCTGGATCGCGGGACCGGGACACCTAGCAAATGTCGATGCTGCACCTCCATCCGTTTCAGTCACCTCCTGCAGCTGTCACCCGGCCAGCTTGAGCAACAGAGCAGGAAGATTTTCCGCCGGACGAGGGCTTCTCCTCATAGTTGACAGTGTTGACCAAACTGGTTTGTCCGGCTCGTTCTCACGGGCCGTCGACACGGGAGAGATAGGTCCCTTCTCAGGTTGATTGACTCGCCCAGCAGTGTTACTGCAAAGTAGGCTCTACCTTGGCACTTGTGGTGGTGGGGACATGTTCACGATGCAAAGCAAAATGCTCCAGCCAGGCGCATGGCAAAGGAGCAACAAGCATGCCAAGACCTGACAACACACTTACTCACCAACAAGTACGGATAGCATCGCCAAATCTTGCACCCTATTTTTAATGTTGCTTTTTTTTCCGCGGCCATTCTAGCGAGGGCGGCCTCCGTTGGTTCTTGATTTTTTTGCATACCATTTCAATCAACCCAAAGTCATGATTACGGCTCAAGCATTTGAGGATCGAAACGCCCAGTACATCTCCTACAGCCTCCCTGCTCCAAAGGCCTCTCGCACCTGGCAGGCATTCAGGTCAAGCCACCAGAGCCAATGTTTGGTGGGGTAGGTAGAGGTACCTCCCAAGCTGGCGTGGCACCTCAGTTTGTTTCCCTTGATCCTGGGCAGCCAGCAAGCCAGCTTCAGGGCCTCAATTGGCAGCTTCAGGCCGTCCCTTATCAGCAGAGTGAGCTGAACAAGCACAGAGGCCGGACAGGTATCCATTGTTACCCGCGTCGCCATCTGTACAATGAGGGCCCTTTCTTGCACCTAATCTCACAGACCTGAGATGCATCACAAGCAGCGTTACTCGTCAACGTCGCAACTCTAGCATTCGCATGCAAAGAGTGGGAAATAAAGATGGAGCCTGGGCAGACGGCCTTTGAGCATCCAGGGGGACTGAACAGGCCACAACTGTGCCACTGCGGATAGGTCGGTCACGCGACAAACACCTCATCCTACCAGCCCAGGTACCAGTGAGTGAGCGGCCGCCCAATGGCTGGAGGAGGTGCTGGCAATGGCAGGTCATCCAACTCCAATTCTCTTGTTTGCCCGCCCAGCCCAGGCAAATCCAATCAAGTCTTTTACCAGCTGTATGCCCTTCTGTTTGACAGTCTCCTGTTTTCTTTGAAGCAGCTTACCGACTTGACTTTTGCAGCTTGCAGCTCCCACCACTGCCGTTGCCATCTTCTTCACTGTCTCACACTGTCGGTGCATTGTGCCCCTCCAACGTTCAGTGTCCCTTCTTAGTCTTCTCTCACTGCCACTCGGCGCCTGTCCCCCGGATTCCAGGCCTTGATCGGCTCACCTCATCGGCACCCGGCCGGCACTCTCTGTGTTAGGCTCCGTCATTCCATCCCCGCCCCTAACGTCAGCCCCGAGTCCCACGGCCGGCAGCCTCTTGTGTGCCCTCCGTGTCCGACCCGCCCTGGCCGGCCAGTGCTCTCCGTTTGAGTGTAGCACTTGCCTTCTTGGGCCTCTCTGTTCTCGGCGTGCTCCCGCCTTGTTGCCAATTGTTTCTGGTGTTTGCAACCCAGGAAATATTTCCCAGAAAAGCTCCAGTCTCTCTCTTTCTCTCTCTTGTGTAACCAACAACCTCCCAACTTCCAACACCCCTCCTCCCATTCTCCATATCCCATACTCTCGGATCCTACTCATCCTTACCCCATCCATCTTCATTCATCATCGCGCATCAGCCCGCATCAGCCACCATGCCCGAGAAGGACCCTCCTGTCAGCCAGCCCCCCGCGGCCTCTGACTGCGCCATCGACGACTCGGACGATGGCGACGAGAGCTACGTTGAGGCCCAACGCATCCGCTCTGAGCAGAAGCAGAAGCGCCCTCAGACGGACTCTCTCCGTGTCCAGGAGATTTTCCCCGTCCATTTCAGCCCCCTCGTCCAGCCCTTGACCAGTTCGAGTGTCGAGTCGTGTGTCGTCCTCGAGAACGCTGCTTTCCCCAACCCGGACCATCGCGCTACCAGAGAGAAGGTGAGTCAACTTTTTTTTTTTCTCCCTCTGGGTCAACACGGTGTTTCTCCGATCGCGCCGCTTTCTCTCGCGCGTCCTGGGTGGATGGTGATCATCGCTGCTTGCTCCGCGCTTGGCAGACAATTTGCCTTGCTGCGTTGCTCGTTGGTGTGGCCAGCGGTGTTGAACATGGTCTCCTCCTCCAGATTTGGTTCATGCTGACTTCCCTGCAGTTCGAGTACCGTCTTTCGACCTGCTCCGACATCTGCTCCGGCATTTTCTGCAGCATCGTCCCCAGCGAAGCCAAGGACAAGGACTTTGCCCTGGAGACTCTGCCAGTGGCCAATCCTGTCGAGACGGGCCGCGCCAACGGCGCCGTTCTCGCGCTTTGCGCCCACGTCGTCTCGACCCTTGGCAACGGACCCGTCGTCACAGATGCCGACATGAGCTACCCAGTCAACTGGCGCGACCAGGAGTCGTCCAAGTCGTCGGGTCTCGGCCATCAAGTCATGGGTCGCACCGTCTGTCTTCACTCGTTCGCCGTCGCGCCCAAGCTCCAGGGTTGCGGTCTGGGCAAGCTCATGATGAAGTCCTATCTCCAGCAGATCAACAACTCAGGCGTTGCTGACCGTGTGGCCCTCATCTGCCAGGACGTAAGTTGACCCTGGCTGCCGTGCCATGTTCGCGCTGACATGTAGCAGTACCTTGTCAGCTATTACAAGCGATTCGGATTCCGCCATCTTGGCGAGAGCAGGGCATCCTTTGCTGGAGGTGGATGGAACGACATGGTAAGTGCCGTTGATTTCCGCGGCTGCAAAACGACACTGACGACGTCTCAGGTGATTGATCTCGCCGGCCCTCCCAAGAAGAGCACCGAGGCTCTCAAGGCCGTCGCCGACGAGACTCGTGCCCACGAGGCCAAGTGAAGAATTCCATGGTTTGGTCACACGAAAAAGTCCACCTTCCTTGGGTGACTATTCGTGTAACAGCATACTTCCCCCCTTTCGGTACATGATTAGGAAGGACACACATACCCTGGTCGCTCAAGTAAACGACGGGTTTGCATTATTGGCTTTTTGTTCTCTTTTGCCCACTGCGTTACGATATCTGGAGGGCGGCAAACTCCTATAGACAGCATGCAGCTACGGTACGAGGATATGACATAGACTAACTTGCCTCAAAAGGGAGAGCAAGAGAATTGAACCCATTTCATCCTGCATCGCTTTTTATTTCATGCGAGGGGGCTCAAGTCTATGGACCGCTTCGAAATCACTTTTTTTGTTCTTCATCTTTTGCGCCTGACCCAAGGGAAGCTCCTATCGAGCGTGCCCATCTACGCCGACAGCCGTGACCTGAGAACTCCAGCTGCTCATCCTCTGACCCAGAAACCCAATAACCGCTTAGTCGGTCGCCTTGTACTTGGCGCGGTACTCCTCCGTACGCTTAATGTCCTCGGCGGACGCGAAGCTCTTGGCACCCTCAATGATGTCGTCGAGGGTGAGGATGGCGAAGATGGGGATGCCATACTCCCTCTTGATCTCGCCCATGGCGCTGGGGCCGGGGTTGCTGTCGTCGCCGTCGGCGGCGGGCAGCTTCTCCATGCGGTCGAGCGCGACGACGATTCCGACGACCTCGCCGCCCTCCTTGCGGATCTTGGCAATGGCCTCGCGCTTGGCGGTGCCGGCGGTGATGACGTCGTCGACGATCAGGACCTTCTTGCCCTTGAGAGGCGCGCCGACAATGTTGCCGCCCTCGCCGTGGTCCTTGGCCTCCTTGCGGTCAAAGGAGTAGCAGGTCTGCGCGTAGTGCTCGGGGTCGAGCTCGGCGAGCTTGTCGGTGGTGGAGGTCGCGAGGGGGATGCCCTTGTAGGCGGGGCCGAAGACGATGTCGAACTCGAGGCCGGCGGTCTTGCGGGCGTCGATGACGGTGTGGGCGTAGGCCACGGAAATGGCGCGGAGGAGGTCGGCGCGGTAAAAGTCGCCGGCGTTGAAGAAGTAGGGCGAGATGCGCTTCGACTTGAGCTCGAAGGAGCCGAACTTAAGGACGCCGCCCGAGATGGCGGCCTTGAGGAAGTCCTGCTTGTAGGGGGGGAGCTGAGAGGCCATTTTGGTGATGATGTTTCCGGCTTTGTTTTGAGGGAGTCGGTAGGAGGGTATCAGAGGGGGGTGATCAACCAGTCTGGCTTGTCGTGTGCTGGAGGATGGAATTCTCAAGATTGAAGATTCTCGGGTTGCCCCTCCATTGAAGGACTGCCCCGCGGAATGTGCCCCACTACCAGCTGGAAATTTTTGCGATTAAGTTCTAGGCGGAGGTACCCTTGGGTCTGCACTCTGCAGGGTCTACCACCCGGGAGTTGGATAGCCTCATGTTCAGCATTATCTACAACACGCGAGAGGATAGCTCCGCCATGATGGTTTACGAGGCAAACTTAGCGATTAGTGCGTCGCAAATCAAACCTTCGCCCTCACGCTCAGCGGAATTCACACCACCGACAGTAAACGCCGTCGAAGCGCGAGAACCGCTGCCAAGAGAGAGGTGACATGCGTCGCCACCAGGTGTGGGTCCGATAAGATAAGGTAAGCGAGTCTCCGCAGTGCGTCCAGGAAAAAAAAAATTCAAGCCTCTCGACACCGCCCGACCGCCCAGTGCTTCATCCAGTTCACGGACGGGCAATTTTTGACCGATCGCAACTCTGAGGACTGCTTCATTTTCCCGCGCAGACCCCAGCCGCCCAACATGAAGACTCAGTATGGACTATCCCTTGCGTGTACGATTGAGTAAAGGCAGTGTGCTAATCATGTTTCGCCCTCCAGGTGGAAGGACCTCCCTCCCGTCCCCAACTCGCAAGAGTTCCTGGACATCGTCCTCTCCAGGACGCAGCGCCGGCTGCCGACCCAGATCCGATCCGGCTTCAAGATCTCCAGAATCCGTGGCTTCTACACCCGTAAGGTCAAGTTCACCCAGGAGACTGTCAGTGAGAAGCTCGGCCAGATCATCGAGTCGTTCCCCCGCTTGAACGACATCCACCCCTTCCACAAGGACCTGATCAACACCCTCTACGATGCCGACCACTTCAAGATCGCCCTCGGCCAGCTCTCGACGGCGAAGCACCTTATCGAGACCATCTCCAGAGATTGTGCGTTGGAAACCCGTGTGTTTTGTTCGTGTGGCGGGACGGGAATGCTGATTGGTGTTTTGCAGATGTCCGTCTCCTCAAGTACGGCCAGTCGCTGTTCCAGTGCAAGCAGCTGAAGCGCGCCGCCCTTGGTCGCATGGCCACCCTGATCAAGCGCCTCAAAGATCCCCTGGTGTACCTCGATCAGGTCCGACAGCGTGAGTGGCGGAAAGTGAGAACCAGAAGCGCGCCTAGGAATACTGACACTGCGCAGATCTTGGCCGTCTCCCCTCGATCGACCCCAACACCAGAACCCTTCTCATCACTGGATTCCCCAACGTCGGAAAGTCTTCTTTCCTGCGCTCCGTCTCCAGAGCCGATGTTGACGTGTACGTTGCGCCGACCTCGAGATCCTCAACTACCTGACTGACAGACCACGTGTGTAGCCAGCCGTATGCCTTTACCACCAAGTCCCTCTTCTGCGGTCACTTTGACTACAAGTACCTCCGATTCCAATGCATCGATACCCCCGGTATCCTGGACCACCCTCTCGAGGAGATGTAAGCGCCTTACCTCACACACGTCGCGCAAACGGGATGCTAATGAGCCTAGGAACACCATCGAGATGCAGTCCGTCACCGCGATTGCCCATTTGCGATCCGCCATTCTCTACTTCATGGATCTCAGTGAGCAGTGCGGCTACTCCATCCAGGCCCAGATCAACCTGTTCCAGAGCATCAAGCCGCTCTTCCAGAACAAGATCGTCTTCATCGTCGTCAACAAGATCGACGTTGTCAAGCCCGAGGACCTCGACGCCGAGACCCAGGAGAAGCTCCAGGGTCTCCTCAAGTCCGGCGAGGTCGAGATGCTCCAGCTGTCCTGCAACACCCAGGAGGGTGTCCAGCAGGTCAAGAACACCGTCTGCGAGCGCCTTATCGCCGAGCGCGTCTCCCAGAAGCTCAATGCCGGCACCAACTCCAGCGGCGCCATCGGTGGCCGTCTCGCCGACGTCATGGCCCGTATCCACGTCGCCCAGCCCATGAACGGCCAGACCCGTGAGACCTTCATCCCCGACGCCGTCAAGGGGCTCAAGAAGTACGACAAGGAGGACCCGGAGCGCCGCAAGCTCGCCAAGGACATCGAGGTCGAGAACGGCGGTGCCGGCGTCTTCAGCGTCGACATGCGCGCCGACTGGCTCCTCAAGAACCCCGAGTGGAAGCACGACAAGATCCCCGAGGTTTTCAACGGCCAGAACGTCTACGACTTCGTCGACCCCGACATCGACGCCAAGCTGCAGGCTCTCGAGGAGGAGGAGGAGCGTCTCGAGAAGGAGGGCTACTACGAGTCGGACGAGGACCTCGACGACGAGGAGGAGGCCGACATCCTCAACAAGGCGGAGCTGATTCGCGAGAAGCAGGCCCTCATCCGCAACGAGGCCAAGATGAAGAAGCGCCTCAAGAACCAGGCCATCATCCCCCGCAAGTCCATGAAGGTGCCCCTTTCCCAGATGGACGACGCCCTCGACCAGCTCGGTGTCGACACCACCGACATTGTCAACCGCGCCCGCGCCCAGTCTCGCCCCCGCGGCCGCTCCATGGGCAGATCCCGCGCCGGCACCGAGGACGCGGACGCCATGGACGTCGACGCGACCCCCAGGGAGCGCCTCCGCTCCCGCTCCCAGAGCAGGGCACGCAGCCAGGCCGCCACCGACAGGCGCAACGACGGTGTCACGGATGATGGTGCTCGTACCAAGGCTGAGCGCCTGGCTAAGCTCAGCCAGAAGAAGATGAACAGGAACGCCAGACAGGGTGAGGCCGATCGTCACACGACGGTTTCCCTCCAGAGGCACTTGGTGAGTTTTATCAGTTACCCATATCCTTTAGACGCATTCGCTAACTCGCTCATCAGGTCGCCGGCAAGCGTGGCATGGGCAAGACGCAGAGACGTTAAGAAAAGGTGGACCGGTAATGTGGGTAGTGACAAAAAGGTTTCCGTGGAGGCATCATCGCATCGTTTGCGCTCCTTGATGGGAAGAACAAAAGTAAATATGCTGTGCTTGTTTTCGCTTTTCTTGGCCTTGGGGGCGTTTGGTTTGATTTATTTCGACATGTAGGAAGCCAGAGAACGCAGGAGGCGAGCGTGGAGGGGAAGCAGTTCGCGGGGTCGCCTTTCTCACTTGAGGGATGAACATTCAAGAAAAGGAAGGTGGCGTCGTTCTGCTTCATGTATCTATGCCTGTGACGGCTCCAAAAGCCCAACAGACCATGATTTACGGGGCCGCTGAATACCCTGGATGAGAGAATTCACATAAAATTGAGTCGACATGAGAAAAAATGTGACAAGTTGCCCGTGTTGTAGAAGGCCGTGCCGTTGTTGTCTAGTGTCCCCCACTATTCCTGTCTCCTTGCCTGTCTCACTCAAGTCTCAAGCCACATGCCCATCATCGACGTACCCTGACCTGAGGACATCACTCATGTTACGCTGTTGGGACAAGTATTTACTGTTTTGCATATGGCTTGAATAACTTTGAAGTGCACCACCCTCCCCGATGTTTACGTCCAAGATATATATATATATCTACTCCGGATCGTTGTCTGTTATGGTGTGCGAGGGCCCATTGCCTCTCAGACTGTGTGTTTCCTCCACGTTCAAACCCCACCGCGTACGCAGCCGTCGGCCTTACTGCTCATCCGCAACCTGCAGACCCTCTCTAAGACCCTCAACAACGAGCTCCTCGCCCGTGGCGCGGCGGTAGATGTCCTTGACGTCGTCGGTCGTGCTCTCAAAGTGACTGCTGGCGTCGTAGCTCTTGGAGACGAAGACGTTGTCGGCACGGCCGTCGTCGGTGGGCTCGTAGATGGGGATGGGAGCACCCTAGTTGGTGTTAGTTTCTTCATTACACGGATGCTGCCGAGCATTCATCCACTCACCATGAACTGCTCCTCGATCTGTCCAAGACGGTCCAAGCCGGGCTGGAGCTCGAGGTGGTGGTTGGCGCCGGTCTCGGCAATGGTAGAGACGATGGCGATCCAGTAGCCCTTGGGGCACACGTTGTGGGCGGAAGACACGCAAGCGATGTAAATATCTGCCACGGGTCAGCCAACTATTCCGTTTCCTCCGGCCTCAAGCAAATACGTACCGTTCTTTCGGCCAATCTGAGACTGGGGGATGATGAGCTGGCAAGAGTCGCTGTCGTTGGTGTGGCTGAGGGGGTGCTTGAGCACGCAAATGGCACGCAGGACCTGGCCAATAGGCTTGACCTTGCCGGGGAAGTAGCTGGGGTCACCGAGAATCATCTTGGCCTTGGTCTCGAACTTCATCTCCTCGACACCGGTCATGGTGGCCTTGATGCCGACGGCCTTTCCGCCCTCGTAGGTGACCTCGTCGACGTTGGTGTTGAGCATGTAGGTACCGCCGTAGATGGCAGACAGACGAGCAAATCCCTGAGGAAGCTCGCCAAGACCGTACAGAGGGTAGATGTAAGGAGACTTGCCGTAGCGGGCAACGGAGGTGCCGTACAGGCGGATGCGCTCAATAGCCTCCGGGGCGCCACCGGGCTTGGTGAGGTACTCGTCGGTGGTGAACAAGGCCATGGCGTGGCCGATGAAGTCGCGAGTGCCAGTCTCGAGTCCGAACTTGTCGTAGACCTCCTTCATGGCGCAGTTGTTGATGTCGAGGCCTTTCACGTGTCAGCCCGAGCTTTATCTAGGTGCCTTGCTCTCAGTCGGCGTCTTACCCTTGTGCGTAGCCGTGTCCTTGCGGTCAAAGGTGCCAATCCACTCGATGAAGCTCTTCATGCGGCGCTTCTCGAAGATGCCCATCAAGGGCGATCGCAGAGCCTCGCCGGCATCGGACGGAACCTTGGCAACTTGGGCCTTGGCACCCTGGCCCTGCTGGACGTAGCTGCCGGCGACCTGCTTGAACTCGAGGTATCGTGTGACGTCGGTCGATACGAGGATGTTGGTGAGCTCGCCGGAGGACATGAGGAAC